TCAACCTCATCCCATTGGTCTCAGCCCATCAATGATGATGATATGCTGTTATCTAGGATTGAGTGGATTAACATTATACTGGCAGTAAGCAAGCATAAGTACCAAGTAAGCACGCTGTTACTGTGGGGCTATGGCCTCAACGTGTGGGAGAGTAAGCTTTAAGAAGGTTGAGGCCAGTATCTAGCGCTTCTTGACTGTAGCTGGAAGTTCCACAATCATGATGCAATCAGTATTTTTTTTTGTTGGCTTTTTTTTTTTTCAATTCTCTCCTTGGCCAGTTCTTTGGGGCAGAGGCTTTGTATTTAGATGTGTGGAAAATGAATTAACTTTTCATACTCAAAATCTTGAGTGACCTGAGGGAAAGCAAGACAGGAGGGCTGCTTCTTAACACTGCCAGTATCTGGAAAACTACTGAGACTCAAAACTGAGAGTTCTCAGCACTGTCTGTAAGAGGAGAATTTTGCACTAAATAGGCTTGGCTTCTAGGTTTGTGTCCTTCGTGTATATTTAGTATCTGCATATTCACCTGTCAGAGAAATCTGGCCAAAATTTGGCGTGCCTGCTCTGAAGACCAGTTCGAGCAGTGCCCTTGCAAGATAAAAGAAATTGTGTTCTTCTTCCTAGGCTGAGTATTCAAGTGCCTCTGATCTGCTGTATTTATGATGGCAGATTGTCAGTACGTGAAGGTGTCATGATTTTGCTGGGTTTTGTTGGTCATCTGCTGTACCCCCTCCCTCCCCATCTCCTCCCCACAGTGGTCTGTTTCAAGGACCAGCTTGATGCTGAAGAACTGCTCCTGAGAGAGATTTTGAGTCAGTACTGGGCCTTTTTTAAGAAGCCGTGGAGTTCTAAGCATCTTCACTATGCTGTGTTTTTCTGACTAAAGGAAAAGTGTAGGAAAATCAAACAGCAGCAGCTGGAGGAAGCTAAAATGTCTAAGTGCTGACACAGAGGGAGTGTGCACAAATGAAAACATCTTGCTTTTGGTCTTAACAACTGTAGAAGCTGAAGTAATCAACTCTTGCAATTTCTCCCTTACAGTCTCAGGAAATTGTAGAAACAATGGTGGTAATGTCTGTCAGAATTGATGTAATTGGTTCTGTATAGCAGCATAAAAACATTTATTCATGTCTGACAAAAAGTCTGTTTAGGCTAATATCTTGTTTCTAACTGAATTAAAATGTGAGGCTTATAGGAGTTGAAAAATGGTTTACAGAACACTTCCTGTTATGACAACTTTTCTTTTTGTGAAATTGCTTCGTAGTTTTAGCATATGTATTCTTACTTTTTATACTAAAGGAAGCGAAATGATAAAATAGAGTTACTTGTGGGCTGTATTGCTGAACTATCAGAAATGGAAGAAAACATGCTGCTGAGACACGGGGAGAATGACTTCAGTGTCATGTATTCCACACGGAAAAACTGTGCACAGCTGTGGCTTGGTCCTGCTGCATTTATCAATCATGGTGAGTAGTAAGTATAGGAAGCATGTTAAAGGACATAAGCAGTTTTACTCAGAAGTGTTGTTATATGTGAGCTGAACAACACAGGGCCTTAGAGAAAATGTCTGAAGCTGGCATACTGGATTACTGTAGGACAAAATCCTGCTGGGATTTTCCCAGGCCAGAGTTGATAGGCTGTGAACTGAGAAACTCACAGAAGGCTTTAGAAAGTGATGTCTTCTTCCTTCACAGAGACTTTGGATTTGGAACTGGCAGGTAAATTAGTGGAGCATATTGTGGGTTACCTTGAATTCTCTGTGAACTTAGTCAACAGTAATGTATTTATGAGGTTTATTTATTACGCATATTTCTTATGCCGCCTTCAGCCTTTTGCACAGAAGCTTAACTGATTCTGTTGCATTTGAATGCTGAAGGAAGAGCAGGTAGGATTTAAGATAAATGCTGTTACCTTAAGCAGGAGGGAAAACTGAATGTTTGTGATAGCACAGGGAAGAGCTCAGAAACCAAACTGTGTCAAAACAGGTATCTATTGATGTGTGGCTTTGTGCAGTACTAACATAATGCCCTGTATTTAGTTGAGATTCTACAGTTAACTGAAGTCAAAGTGAATCATTACTTTAGATATCTACAACTATTCATGTTTCAGGTCTTATCAACAGTTAATTGACTTTATCTTTTGGACCTTTTTCAGATTGCAGACCTAACTGTAAGGTAAGAAATCGAAAATAAATAAAAGACCCCACAATTTTTTCCCTTTATCCCTGCATCTTTTCCTCCCAACTGTTTTACCTTCCTTTCTTATTTATTTATTTTTTTAAATTCAGATACTGTTCAACCTTAACGATTAACTTTTTTCTTTGTTTTTTCTCCCCATCCTGCTGTCTCCTTCTCCAGTTTGTGTCAACGGGCAGAGATACAGCGTGTGTGAAAGCTTTAAGAGATATTGAACCTGGAGAAGAAATCTCTTGTTACTATGGAGATGGCTTTTTTGGAGAAAACAATGAATACTGCGAATGTTACACCTGTGAAAGGTATGCATGGATGTAAATGGAATTGGGCATATTCGTGATATATTTTGTGAAACTGCAAGTCCTTGGCTGTGAGTACTCAGACACATTATAATTGCTTTCTAGCTGTTTGTTGAAGTGGTTTTTTTATGTTGTTACTGAATGGTCATGTTTCTTGAACTCCTGAATTCTGTTTGGTGTTTTTCTTTTCATTCTCTGTTCTGGGGATAGCCCACAATGAGAATAACAAAAAAAAAGTGTAGATTCTTAAAAATATTCACACTGAATAAAGTAGAACTGGAAGGAAAAGCGGTTGTAGCTGCTATGAGACCATTGGCAATGATCCCCCAACTTCTGCTTTTATTTGGACTAGATAAAGCAAATGTCATTAGTTCTGTGTTGACCTGAAGTTCTCTTCTGCTGGGAATATGGGCAAAGTTGTTTTCACCGTATGTTAACATAACTTGGGTGTTTGTGTATTCATAAAGATCTACCAGCAAAGTTGTTATATTTGTTTTTCACCTCTGCTGTCCCAAGACAGTTTCTTCACAAAATCAGTTGCAAGAATTTCATAGTTGATTTTTGCCATGTTGAAACTTCTGCTTGCTGGGAGTATGGAGGCTCGACATCATTTGTGACAGCTTCACCTGTTCCAAGAAGAGCTAAACAGAACCTGTAACAGTTCTGTTACTGTCTGACCTAAACGTAGAGAGAAAAAGCCTATAAAGGATGAAATATTAATCATATTGAGATATAGCTTAGTGCACCTACACATAAATAATCTAGTAATCCTACCTTCATTTTTACTAGCTTGTTTGGTCACTAAGAATTCTTGCAATTCAAGGGAAAACCTTCTGGTGTGGACCTCCAAGCTCATATGATGTTGGCAGATCATTCCAAGTGAAGGGTAAAGTCTCAGACGTTATCCAGAGAGCTGCTAGTAAAAATGTGCTTCAGTGCTGGGAGCTGGTTAGAATTGAATAAATGGGCACTGTGGTTGTTCTGCGATGGTTCATGCCTTGTTCCTTGGAGTGATATGTTTCTTTTTGCTCAAATTCCTTTGACTGTTGATTTTAATGTAATACAGACAAACCAATTTTGTGTCCGAACATTTTCACTAACTTGTCATCTTCGTATTTTAGGTACGTGATAATGTTATGTTTTAAAGCTAATGTTTGGGTAATTCTAACTTTAGGAATCTGCTTTTCAGTCACAAGGCTGTGTTACAGCAATCAAATAGGAGAGACTTGAATTCAGGGGTGTTGAGCAAGGGAAGATGCATCCTTACCAACATAATGAGGCAACTGTCGCTTTGTGCACCACAAAAAAAGGTCGTCCTTAAGTGACCGAATTTTGACTGTGCTTTAAAGGATGTTAATTTGTTCTGCTAAAATGCTAGACTTACAAGAATCTGTGGAGTTCTGTGGGGAGGTTGGCACTGTAAATTTTTCAAGCTTCCAAAAATCATCGCCAAGAAAATGTGTATATCTTTACATATGCACATGTACTCCTTATAAGTGAGCCTGCTGCTCATGTTGGCTGAGACAACTGAAACACCAAAGATGACGTGTCAGAAGACAGGGGTTGTTCATAGCACCATCACTTTCTGACCTGAATTGGCTGTTACTTCTGCTAAGTTCAGTCTAGTATCTTAATCTGCCTATAATTTGCACAATTCAAAATTACATTGAAAGAATGTTCCATATCAAACAAATACCAGGTAGTTTGAAAAGTATTGTGTCTCTGTGTTACTTAACCTTATGGAGTTTGAGGTTCTGTCTGATCTTTTCAGTTCAGTTTTGGTTAAATTTTGTGGATTTTCTTCCAGTACAACACACTGGAACCTAAACAGAAGTTTTCTTCAGTAATTCTGCAAGTGCAAGCAACTGGATTTTTAAAGAGCGTCAAAGGAATCGTAGTAGTAGTGGTTGCAGTGCAAGTCCAGGAGTTCTGAATGTTCACCTTTTTCTGTCATTACTTGAAAAGGGAAAAAGAAATCTGGGTTTGCTCGGCCATTTCATTTGCATGGTCAATACATGCTGGAGTCTTTAAGTTACAAAGAAACACAACTATGTGATAATTTTACTGTATTTTCTCTACTTTTCAAGTCTTGCTGGTGCAGTAACAAGTGTTGTACCTGAAGCTGGCATTTTTTTTTACTAGCCTGATGTGTTGAGGAAGAATTTAAGTTGATATCTAAGCTAATATATTTTGAACTACTATATTTCATCACCTGGATAATTTGACTATGAAATGATACTTAAAATAGACATAAAGCAAGGGAAACCTGCTTTTGTAGTTTTTCTTGCAAGAAATAAATGGAAGGTTTTCCTGCACATTACTAAAATACATAGTACATAGATACCTTATTGAAACAGCCCACAAAATGCTAATAAAGTCAATGTTTATTGGTATTGTTTATCCTAATATACCTGAAATTAGAACTACTGTATATGAAACAAAGTTCTAAGTATTGTATTAATACATTGTTTCTTCTCTTTCTTTGTAGACGTGGAACTGGTGCTTTTAAATCAAGAGTGGGATTGCCAGCGCCTACTCCTGTCATTAATAGTAAATATGGACTGAGAGAAACAGATAAACGATTGAACAGACTTAAAAAGTTGGGTGACAGCAGCAAAAATTCAGACAGCCAATCCGTCAGCTCTAACACTGATGCAGATACCACTCAGGAAAAAGCTAATGCAAGTAAGTCAGGGGAAGTCTTGGAGTGTAGAAGTAAATGTTTCATAAAAACATAAACTTCTACTGTGATGGAATTCCTCTCGTGTTGAAATGCATCTCAGATACTGGTCTTTAGAACTGTAATTTATTCAGGAGTCTGAAGGCAATTTAAATAGCAAATTCACGGTTTTCCTTTATTTGTATCATAAGCAAATAGTGTCATTTCTAGACTTGTCAGTTAAAGTTCTGTTGATAATGTATGCGTTTTGAAATACGGCAAACTATCACATGCAGTAGTACGGTTTAGGAAAGAAAACTTAGTCTGTTATCTACATTCTGTAGGAAAACAGTTGTTAAATAAATACAATTAGTAGAGATTATTTAAACAGTCGTTTCCTTTAGAGATCCTTTAAATCGGGCAGCTATTCCCTCTCCACATCCAGGACTGATAGTTCAGGTACCTATTCTGAAGTGAAAGTGCAGAGTTAGTGATCTCAGAAGAAACTGAAAGGGAATTTTGTTTGTGATGCTCTTGAGAAACTTCTCTTCATGGAGTAGTGAGTATTATTTATTTACTTTCCATCCTTCCCCACCTGCACCTCCCTCAGTATAGGCAAAATACGGTTAACTTAAACTTTTACTAAACTAGCAAACACATTGGAGCCACATAAAATATCATGGTTTCATTTAGCTCCTGTTTGCTGCTTTGATATTTAAAAATAAACTAAAAAAGCCCTTTCCAAAGCCATCTTATGGTCTCTAATTACAAAGCATCTTTGCTTGGGCAGACAAAACTCCTTTCCTTATCATAGTATGCAACAGACAACTGAAACTGAAACCAGTGTAATAATTTAGGGTTTGGTTTGGTTTTGTTTGTTGTTGTTCTATAGGAAAAAAATCAGGGGTTAATTACTAGAGCATGCTGATCCTCAGATTTTGCTGAAAATAAAAAAAAAACTTCAGTAAAAACTCTGGATGATGTGGGATGGACTTAAAAAAAAGGTAGAAGAAGAAATTCAGTAAAAGACAAGCTCGGTGTACCTGCAGTTTAGGAGTACTCCTGACTTGTTTGACAGTTGTGTTTGTCCGAGTTGCAAGTTAAGTAGTCTTGCTTACTGCGTACTGTCTAGCCTGTTTCACAGATTCTGATTAAGTGTTTAAAATAAATGAAGTAACTACAATATTTGGGAGTGGGAAACTCGGGATAAAGCCATGTCTTAACAAAACCACTTTTTTTCTATGGCAGGTAACAGAAAATCTTCAATTGGTGTAAAAAAGAACAGCAAAAGTAGAACATTAACAAGACAGTCTATATCAAGAATTCCAGCATCGTCAAATTCTACCTCATCTAAACTAACTCATATAAATAATTCCAGGGTACCAAAGAGACTGAAAAAGCCTGCAAAGCCTTTACTTTCAAAGATAAAGTTGAGAAATCAGTGCAAAAGGCCAGAGCAAAAGAGTGCTTCTAGAAAGCTCGAAATGGGAAATTTAGTTCTCAAAGAGCCTAAAGTAGTTTTGTATAAAAACTTGCCCATTAAGAAGGATAAAGAATTGGAGGGACCAGTCAAAGTTGCAGTCTCTAGTGGATGCTTAACAAGGCATGCAGCAAGAGAACATAAACTGAATTCTGTGAAAGGTGCTTATGAGCATGGTGATATACCATCCTGTACATACATAACTAGGAGGTCAATGAGAACAAGGATGAATTTGAAGGAGACCTCTGACATAAAGCTTGAACCAAATATGTTGGATAGTTATAAGAACAATTTGACTGGAACGCAGTTGGGTATTTTAGAGCAGCAGCCTTGTGTGGTAAATGAAAGTGCTGCAGCTCATGGACCATCACATAAAGGGGAAAATAGATGTCAGAAAAATGATACAAGCATGTCTAAAAAGAGATCTCGACAAGGAAAACTTGTGAAACCATCTGCAAAAACAGAAGAAACAGATACTACACACAATATACTTGTGAAAGATGAAGTACCAGATTTGATTAGTTCTCATTCAGAACTGGGAGAGAGGAATAATGTGGTGGACACACCTGTTGGCTATAAAGACTACATCCCTGGGTCTGGTGGCTGCTCTGTTGTAACATCTGACAATTTAAAAGCAAAAGACAGCTTTAGAACTGCAAAAAGTAAAAAGAAAAGACGGATCACGAGGTATGATGCACAACTTATCCTTGAAAATAGCTCTGGGATCCCTAAACTGACTCTTCGTAGACGCCATGATAGCAGTAGCAAGACAAATGACCAAGAGAGCGATGGAGTGAATTCTTCAAAAATAAGCATCAAATTAAGTAAAGACCACGAAAAAGATAATAATTTATATGTAGCAAAGCTAAACAATGGATTTAACTCAGGATCAGGCAATAGTTCAACAAAATTAAAAATACAGCTGAAACGAGAGGAAGAAAATAGAGGGATGTACCCTGAGGACCTTCACGAAAATGGTGTGTGTTGTAGTGAAACTCTCTCCCTTTTGGAGTCAAGAATGGAAGTAGATGATTACGGTCACTATGAAGAGGAAACAGCAGATGAATCATCATCAGAAGAGGATGATGAAGAGGAAGATGACTATGACGATGAATTTGATGACTTTATTCCACTTCCTCCAGCGAAAAGACTAAGGCTTATTGTTGGCAAGGATTCAATAGATATTGATATTTCTTCCAGGAGGAGAGAAGATCAGTCTTTAAGGCTCAATGCATAAGCTTGTAGGTCTTAAACTGACCTGGATGTCATTTTAAAAAAAAACAAAACAAACAAAAAAAACCCCCACAACAACAACAACCAAGGCAATGAAAATGTCATTTGATTATTCCTCAACTGAAGAACTTTCTGAAAATCTTAGTGGCAGCACTTCTTACACCTATCAACAGAACATTGTAGAAAGTGTACAGCATACTGACTCTTCTTAAGTCTGATTTGTGCAGATTTTTATTGTACTTTTTAATAGCCTTCTTATGTGCAATTCTGAGTTAGAGGTAATGCTCTGTTGTAAAATAAAGGCTCAAGCAAAGTTACAAAATTTCATCAACTCTTTCCATGCAGGACAATGAGGATACAGTGTGGCTACATAATTATTTTTGATCAGTTAGGGCATTAGTTTGCTCTTACGATATTTGACTAAACAATTAAAGAAAATCATGGTAGCAGCATATTAAGGTTTTCTAGTATATGTTAATATCACCAGCAATGATCTACAGCTTTTAGATTTATTTGCTAGATGTTTCCTTCCCAGTCCCCCTCCTTGGAGTTTGTCAGTTTTAACACTGTATGCTGTCCCAGACGTACTGTTTGTGGCCTTTGTTATAGTAGCAAACCATTGGTTGGAATTCAAATTGATTTCTTCAAAAAAAGGAGAAAAAAATGAAAAGGTGTTGACAATTTGCTGACTTTTTAGTACATTATATGTACAAGGGTAGCAGTATGCAGAATAAAAGTTTGGATATGGTATATTTATTGCTTGTTATGTAAATTAAACACCTTGTATTTAACACTTTTCAATACTTTTAGATAAAGTTGTTCTTTGCAAGAATGATTGGTGCTTATTTTTTTGAGAATTCGCTGTGAAATAATGTGATTCCAACAGGCAACATTTATCCAATGAACTGCAGCTATCCTAAATTGGTTCTTCGTATTTTTCTGTTGCACTTGTAAAATGCTACAAGGAATTTAAAGAAAATCTATTCACTTTAACTTATGATAGTTTTATGAAATTAGAAACAACTAAGTCACAGCTTTTGTTCTGTGGTAACCTATAAATTGTTTGTCTTTTAAGAACCAGTTGTAAAAGACTGAAGAAATACGTATATGTTGTAAATATTTGTGTGTTGTGAGAAATTTTGTCATAAGAAATTGAGATAACTTGCCAGAAGGGTTTTTAAGTTTAGAAATACATCCATGCCAATAAAATAGGAAATTGTAAACCTAGTTTTAAACTCTGCATCAGTTGGAGTTCTTTGTTCATACGTAGTTCACGTAATACTTCAGAGTCTGCTTTATAA